GTAACTCCATCATTGGTGCTTCTTGCACCGTGGCAAATGTATCAACGTAGGTGTTGCGAATAATATATCAGACTACAACCGTGGCCATGGAGAGATCGAAGTGAGTAGTGCCCGCAAGCAAAAATGGAGAACACAGCAGTTCGAAAGAAACGCGAGCGAAGCAATAAGTAACTAGGGTTTGTGGGCACAGTGAGGCTGCGGGATCTCTCAACCATAAAAATCTGGTGTAGTCTCGTGATGCACAGTTTAGACGACCATAAAGAAAGCCTTCTCTATGTCACTTGAAATTAGGATTTCACATAATCCAGTGCAGATGAGGATATCAACGAGGTCAGGTAGGAGGACTGGTCCGCGATACAAGGCTTCATTGAGACATAAGCTTCCCTTCATCTTCGCGGAGCCGTTGTATACACACCTGATTTTCAGATCCTTGTCGTTCTTCTCCATGACGTCATGGTGAGATGAGTAATGACAAGGGTTAAGTTTAACAGTGTTTTGACTTCGAGCAACAGCTGCAGTTGAGAAGTTAATTTTAATTTTGAATAAAACAACTCAGAACGTTGACCCATATGAATGCTACCAGTTTGCCCTTAGGATCTCCTGCTACTTATTGCGCAGGCACATGATGGGCTACCTTCGATGTAAAGATGCTTAAATGGAGCTAGTTCTGTCAATTAAACCCAAAGAGCTACTGTGGTTCTAGGGTACTACAGTCATCATTGCACATCAATAAAAGCTTTAGCTAATATGGAGCTTTAAACATTTTCAAGATTAGCTGTAATATGACGTCAGGAAAAATCAAAAACACGAGCGATGGATGATGCTACCCTTTCGTTCTTTGCCAGATCAAGTATTTTTAAGAGTTATTTTCCACTGGCCCCTGCATTAGCCCATATCTAGTACTTAATAGGTTGTTCAATAAGTGGAAGAAGTTCGAAAAGTGTCTGGCCATTTTGTTGAGTACATTAAGTGCGAAACTATGTACTATGGGAAATCCAACTATAATGTGCTCACTTTATAACGTTCTATTATCAAGTATACTTCACACGTGTAATCAACGGTGGGAATCTAAATTAAAAGATAAAACCTTTGTGTATGCTGTATGATCCATTGTCTTCTTGTATCGAATGGAGGAATGTGCGCGAATCGCCGGTAGTGGTATTGTCGTTAAGTACAGGATTATATCACAAATTGTTCGATATTAGATTACAGAGCAAGATACATTTATTTATTTATTTATTTTATACACAAAGTGCGCCAAAAATGAGAATGAAAATAAGTATCATGCTCGAGCAGTAACATCAAAGATAAACTAGATGGCTTCTACATTAGAGTGGTCAGGTCGTTCTCCTTCTCCAGAACCTCTGCCGAGTTCCTGTTCCCAAACGCAGACGCAAGTTTATGTAAGCAAATTTTACCAGGGCTTGCCAGCGCAACTTAACCCGGGGCGAACGAATTCGTCAGAAATGCTGGGTGAGAGGGCAGGGGGAATCTCAAGGGAGAGGGTTTACCAGCTGTCGTTATCCTTGAGCGGCTATTCTCGGTATGTAGAAGCACTAGAAGAGCAGGATCTTAAAATGAATTACAAAATCTTGCAAAAT